TAACCTTCAAATGCATCCCCAACTTCCTCATATAAAGGTGACAAAAAGTTTTCATTCTCACAATTGTGCTAATCACGAAGACTAAGCGGGCAAAAAATACAGTATGTAAGCAGGAAAAGAATATTAAAGATCCCTGCCAGACTCCATTGTCTTTGACAGATTCTGAATCGAACCCAGAATGAACAGCAGCATCAAGAGGGAAAACATCTAGCATTCAACTTAAATGGGACTCATCCAGCCAAAACGGCTTGGGACAGGGCATCTAGAATGGATGCAAAGACATCAGTGCTGAAGTGATTTGTCAGAAGTTCTTTACAACAATCTTTCTGCTGAACAGAAGTCTTAAAAAACATATTCCCCGAGTAAATCCCCATTGCTCACAGCATGCTGTCTGAAGAAACTATTGTGTTCTGCAGTTTAGGACTGCATTGCCTCGCGGACTACTATTAGGGCCTGTTAAGACATGCCCATCAAAAGAACTTGGGAAATCATACGGTAATTTAAATACATAAGCTTCTTGCCAATTCTTGCTCACTCTGTAAAATCGCAAGTAAACAAAGGAAAAAGAGCATTACCTGTCACAGACACCTTCACAAAACAGGTAGCCCACATAAACTACCCTGACATTACCTCCTCACACAATTAAGCAGCCGCAAAGTAACTTGCGTCCAGACCAAAGGAGAAAAACAACACCCCACCACCACACAAAACCACAACCAGCGAACAAACCACAAATACATGTCAGGCTTGAGCAGAAAGGCAGTTTTCCTGCTGTGCTCCTGTGTCTCCTGGTCATGGCACCTTCTGCAGGGCCAGTCTCATTGCTTGGCCAGCAGTTCATGCTGATTGTGTCCCATCCCCCCCCCACCCATAAAAAACGTCCGATTCTCCCGAGTGCCACAGCTACTGCCAAAGGTGCAAATGGCAGCTGCGAGAGCTGTAGACATGGGAAAACAGTCCTGTCCCTGTCCACACTTCGCTCAGCCCTACAGGCTAAGAGGGTTTGCATGTTGGATTTTCTCTGTCTTTAAACAGAAGTTTTGATTCTGCTGGAGTGGACAGCCACTACCAAAAGCCTCTTTTTGTTATATTCAGTAATGGAGGAGGATTCATTTGAAACTGTGTATGAACGCCTGTGTTTCTTATAGCTGTTATTCACAGATACACACCATAGACCTCCAGCCTAACTGCCACCATCCTCCTCTTTCCTCTTGAAAAATCCTTCTCGTTTTTCACTATGCTCACCCAACCCTTCCAAGACAAAACAGATACCTTCAGCCTCTCACACCAATAAAAATGTGTAAGATTGTGCTTCTTGAATGGTTTATTTATTTATTTGTAGGTCTCCTTTCAGCAGCATGTTAAAAAAAAAATCTTCAGTTTCTGCCTGGACAAACAGGAACACTTGGGAAAAAGATGCTAAAAACAGCCAGATTGCAGAACACTGAGGTCACTCTTCTTAAGAGTTTTCACAGTTTAGGATCTAAACTTTAAAAAATGCCATGAATATCCAGCTACTAAGTCCTTCATTCTGAGTTCAGCAAGCTTCAGTGACCCCGATGAGCACAGCGGCCTCAGCATGGCAGAGAGGCAGGTCCTGAGGCAGCCTAATCTCAGAAAAATAAAAGCTTTGAAGATTAAGAGCAGGATCTTGAAACGACCCAGAGAGAAAGAGAGAGACTAAGTGGTTTCTGTGCCCAGTCCTTCCCAGACAGTGGGCTGCTGCTAAAGTCCCCAACATCCACAGCCGGCAGCTCCAGCTTGGGAACACAAACTCAGCATCTTTTTCTCTGCAGGGACAAAAGATCAGAGCTTGAAGGCCCAAAAATGGAGTTTAGTTTGCTAGAAACCTGGGATAGAGGGAGACATTCCTCACTGCATTTGCTACTCTATGTCTAGAATATTCCTTTTTTCTGGATGATGTCACGAGTTACATTTACACTGAAGTGATGATGTTACTAAGTCACACAGGGAACATATCACACAAATACGTAAAGTTCTGGTTGTTCTTCTTTGTCTTCTTCCTATTCTCTTGCTAAACGTGGACAAAAATGGGATGCAGAAATCCAGCCGAATCCTCACCAGTACCGGAGACACCAAGTTCATTGCATTTCACTGGCTAAATTGCCATTTTACACCCTAGGACACCCCTTACCCTTTTCCACAGCACCATAATCACTGATTTGCTTTCAGCTTGCCATTCCCCAAAATGTCAGATCCTTTCCTGCCAAGCTGCTACAAGTCAGGTGATCCCCTTTCTTCATGTTCTGCCTGACCAGTACCTGCTTGTCCTCTAGCCAATTACTCCTAAATGCAAGGGTTTGTACTTCACTGACCTGCATCTCACTGCAGCAGAGCAAAAAGCTAGGACTTCAGGGCTCCAACCTGCACGTTATTGGGGGTCTGTGCATAGGCAGGGATGGAACACAAAAACCTTCAACCTCACAACAATCAAATTAAAGCACAACCTCTGTGTTCTTAGGCAGCACTGCAGGTTAAGCACAAGCCAGGATGATCCATGGGAAGTACACCGCTAGTATCTACAAACGAGGTGCTGAGGGCAGCATCCCCTCAGGTGATGGTCCGCGCTTCCCTCTGCAGGAGGGCACATATGTCCTTCTGTGCCCATCTGCGGTTCACTCGCCAGTTTACCCCCCCAACACACCCTTCATTCTTCCTCCCCTCCATTCTCACCACTTCAGCCTTTTGCAACTACCACTGCCTGCATAATCTATCATAAAGCAAAGAAAGCAGAGTTTGAAAGGGGGGCTGCAGTGGGAAGACATCAAAGAAAGATGGGCCACAGCAGCTACGAGTGCAGCACCCAAGAGCCGGTCTGGGCGTTGCACTTTGGGCAGGCAGATGAAACATGAAAACAGGGCACTGCCTACTGACCCACAATGACCAGAGGGCCAACTTCAGAGAGCAGGATGAAGACTAGCAAAGGTGAGGGCTACATACATGACAACAATAGACATGAAAGTTGTTCTCTTTCATTCCACAAAACCCATTTCAAAAGATAGTTACCATAATAATTTGTTGCCCAAGCTTTTGTGATGCACCTTAGAGCACCCAGTTTCATATCTCCCTATCCATCTTCGCAGAGCAATGAAGGACCTCCCGGCAGACTTCACACTACTTGGCAGGACAAGCCATTGGAAGAAGCAATCACTCAACTGACAACAGGTTGTGCAATTAAGAGGCCTGCACACATGTGCAAAGCACACAAAAACATAACCTGATTTCTGAGCTCAAAACAACACAGTATACATGCATTTCCAAGCAACACAGCTAGTTCCATGTTTTGGTTATTTTTCCTAGGATAGCTACCACAGAGAAAATTAGAATCATGTTTCAGGAACAATTCGTATCATTGATTTTATGTGCTCAAAGGAAGCAGAAATTAAAACAAGATGGAAGGTATCTTGCCATTCCAAGTCTAAAGTCTGGCAGGAAAATCACCAACCAGTGTTGGCTTCCTGAATTTCTCGGGAAAGCCACTGCTGGGTATCAAAGGCAACAAAGTTAAAATTACTAGAATTATCAGGGAGACATCAATGGAAAGGAAAAAAAAACAACAGTGTGAATTAACAACTCACACATACTACTACAAAAAGCTATGAAAAGAGAATTTTTTTCCCTTCACTTTACTTGCTTTCAACTAGTAATAAAGTTAGCTGGAAATAGGAACTTGCTGTTCTTTGCAGCAATTTATATGACCTCTGCATAAAACAGAAGACTACATCAACTTTTATACTCAATACTCCTACTGCATAGGAAGGGAGGCTCAGTTCAGCTGTACTGGCAACTCTGTGCATTGAAGAACTTTTTTAACTAACTTAATTTCTAACAGAATAGTTTCTTTACCTTCCAATAGCTATAAAAACATGCCCCAAACTGAAACTGTATGTTATGAAGACAACACATGCAAATGCACACACATGAATAACTATAGCATTATTTAAAATTCTCCTACACATAACATAATTTTCAGAGGCACAGTTTAAATTTGTATGAAGTATTCAAACAAAGACAAGACAGCTATCACAAAAAGTAGAGAAATCAGTATAAGCAAAAGGGCTGCGTCTTACAGTGTTAACAAGCCCTGACCAATTCAGAATGCAGTTAATTTCCTTCTGGCACAGCTACATTAATCACATGCATGAAGTCCATGCCAAAATGCACCCATACTATTAATTACAACTATCAAGTCCAATATAGCAACCAGCAAAGCAAAAATAGCTCTAGACTGACTGTTCATTTTATATCTTAAACAACACAATTACCTAAAAGGCCCAGAAAAAAAATTCTTCTAAAAAGCTAATTTTACACATGCATTCACACATCGATGCTAATTTTTGTTTTCCCTTTCAGTTCTCATCAGAGATGGTTTATGGAAAGCTGTGTCATAGCAATCCACATGTGCCAGCCATAATTAAAAGAAAAAGGCAAAAGAGAAGAATATTCAAAAACCACCAACACCACCACACACACAAACTTCCCAGCCTGGCTAAATCCATTCCAGGAGTAAAAAAATAAATCAATACAAGTCTTTTATCCAAGAATATAAAAGGAGGACTTAAATCTCAAGGCACAAGAAATTGAGTTTATAGCTTCAGGAGCACTACCTCAACGTAATCTTCTACACTGACTATTATCGTATAAGAAAGATCTCAGAGTTCTCAGAAGCAACCATGCTCATTTATCAAGTTCCAAAGTACTATAAAAATTTACTACACTAGTCAAGATATCCATCTTGATATATTTCTTACAGTATGCCATCTTTTTTTATAGCAACTGTAAGAGTGAACACCGATAGAAAAACCATAAAATTCTTAATCACGGAAGAGGGATACATATGCGCTTACAGAAGATGGAATTTTATCTTTTCTGTTCTTATGCTGACTTGAATGTACCACGTTGACCACACACACTCCCAAAACCTCAATGCTTCTGCAAAAATATGCTCATTTGTCTAAATTGAGTAAACATTTACTTACCCAGCATCCTCCTGGAATCCTTCCAATTCGTCTCTTTGTTCTGCTAGGGTGGATTCTAGATCCAGATAGGTACCATTGTGAGACAATTGCAGGGTGCAGTCATCAAGCTGTAGAACAAAATTCAGATCATTAGATTACAGCAGTCATTCTCTCTTACACACATCTAACACCACCTTCCCATCTTCCAGGTCCCCAGACAAGATCTCCCTAAAACAAACCATATGTAGGGAATGGATAAGAAAATGGGTGCTATTCAACAATTTCTACAATCCAAAGTCCATATTCACTACACCATACTTGGTCACAACAATATTATCACAACTAACAAACACAGAGAAATTTATTTGAACACACAGAAGGAGATTAGAAGGTTTTACCACAGTGCCTTTAGAATACTATAAGAAAAAAGTAGTTAATTTAAATTTATAACTAGGATATGAATGACTTTTCTCTGTTCTTACAGCATATTTAAGTAAAGTTTCTGGGCCTCTGGATGGAGATGGAAGGAAGAAGCAGCTGTTCTGTGACCTACTGAATGTACGCCTGTGAGAAAGGATACAACTAAGAGACAGTGCAAGGTGGGGCAGCCAAGTGTTGGGGTCCTGCAGCAAGGGGGAGTGCAGTTAACAGAGACCCAGATATTCTGACGTTCTCATTTTAGGGCCAGGCAGTAACCTCCCTCAGAGGCTGCAGAGAAGACCTTTCTAGGCACCAGGGGTGAGAACTACACACACATACCAACTTCCTACAAAGGAACTGACGTAACCAAGGACCAGACCTGAAAGCAGGAACCTGTCTGCAATGAAGCTGAAGGGGGAGAGGGCAATTAATAAACCCTTTTTACTTTCATCTTGTCTTCCCTCATCTTCAAGTTCTCTATTAATTATTCCAGCTGTTGTTAAAAAGCAAGCCAGATTTGATCAGTTAGAAACAGAATTTTGTGGTCTTTTTACATGGAGCTCACCACAGGAGGAGGTCTAGGAAGATCCACCCCAAAACTCTGGCTAACTCACTGCTCAGGAACACAAAATAATTACTAGAATGAGAGGGGTAACTGAACAAGCCTGAAGGAAGAACTAGGAAGTAACATGAGCTCCTCTCTCACCACGAGATAATCCAGTGTCAAATCACAAGGAATGAGACAAAAAGACTTCCCAGGGCAGGGAAACCAGAAAACATTTACCAAAGGGCAGGTGAAAGTACAGGGTTGCCCTACCTCCTCACTAGGGAGTAACTGACCATCTGCCTTGGACAACCTAGAGAATCCAGCCCAGAAGAAACAAAACTGCCATCACTGAGCCCAGCTGGACGAGCTGCTGTGGACCTTCATGTGTCAGCACCTCACTGGTGGTCCTTTCGTAACCAGTCGCAAGTTCACGAATACTGTAAGCCCCAGCCATGTTTGCCGACAGGTACAAAATCCAGTCTGATAGCCAGTCTCAGACTGGCCTGCCAAACAGATGTTCCATTCCTCTAGATTTGGCAAAACAGACTGGCAGGTCCTTTGCATGCCTCTATCTACCACACAGCAACTGTGTCGATGACAGTGCAAACGTACATCCCTGCTGCAAAGGCCACTTTGTGAAGAGGAGAATATTTCACACCACACTTCCTACCAATCTTCTGCCACAGCTGGCAGCCAACAACCCCCTGAACTGGTAAGCAGGGGTCTGAAACAGCCAGTGACTCAAGAAAAGGAAACTACAACCCTTTATCACATCCATGGATTTTTCTTTTTGCTTTTTTTAACACTAGGAAAGAAAACCAGTGAGAATCCACATTTGATGAATTACCTGTTTTAACTTCCCATCAAAGTTATGGGTTCCCAGTAGCTATTCAAACAAAGCATAATAAGCAGCCATACTTCTTATTGGACCAAAACTTAGTCACTCAGTTTCCCATCGTTGATTTATATATGCAAGAAAAGAATACATACAGTCTCTGATTATTCTGAAATAGCTGCAGTGGAAATGCTGCAGAAGAGCTCATCTATAATTAGCAAGCGATAGAGTGTGACTTTTGGATTAGTCCACGCCACTATGCTTTGCACTGTTTGTAATCTGAAAGAAAAGTTCATCCTCTGGAGAAAGGGAAAGGGCAGAGGGAGGAGGTCAAGTTGTATTTCAAGCCTGCTCCATTTTTTTCTTTCCTTTTTTTTCCTCCCCAGTTTTTTTCTTCTGTCTTCTGGGTATTAAAAAAAGCAAAGAACTTCCAAGTGCAGCCTTCTGATACTAACAACAACAATAGTATTACTATTCTGTATCTTTCCAGTTACAAAGGACATTATTAACCTATACTAATACAAGATACACTCTTTAGAGAAGAAAGACTAAACACTACTCTGGGAAACTTTTTTGCAGTAGTCCAGGGTGTCTAATGAAATGCTGATTTATTCAAAGTAATGCCAAAAGGCAAACTACTAATTAGATAAATGTTCTGCTGTCACTATGGAGATTAGGAGATTTGCCCACAATTTCCATTTATACTGCATAATTAGGGAAAAGGAACTGTGCTTTAATAATATCTTATGACTTTAGTGTAGAAAAAGCACAATGAGAACAGGAAGTACTTCGTGTACAAAATAAAGAAGAGTAAGTACATTCTACCTATTTTCATCTCATCTCCATAGTTGCAGCTGAACATAGTATTCATTCAGGCTTTAAAGCACTGCAGATTGTACGCTGCATCCATTAATAGGAGTGTTGGGGTAGTGGGAGAAATGGCAATATCTTTCATTTCCATTACTTAACAATGAGTCTTAGAATCATAGTTTGGGTTGGAAGAGACCTTTAGTTTGGGCTGGAAGGGACCTTTAAAGATCATCTAGTCCAACCCCACCGCCACGAGCAGGGACATCATCTACTAGATCAGTCTTGCCAAAAAGTTTTTTTTCTTCTCTTGAATGTGTACACACAGAGATGGAAGGAAGCAAAACAACTCCTTTCAAAAGGAGTTTAAGTATTTAGGCAATCAACTCTAAAATCATCCTTACACAGGATCACTTTGCTCCAAGCTTCACTTGCACACACATTTTACAGGCAGAACACAAACAGAGAAGCCACCTAACGAATTATTTTTAATTAGTAAATTGCCTGCCTTTTTCAACACAAAGGATGGCTGATATTCACTCATTAGTGCTTGTTAGTAGCAATTCAGGATGTTGCTCTCTCCTTTGTTCAATGTTAATCCCATGATTATCTGCTATGCATCAATTCTCCCGTCTCTGGAGACCCTCACAAATGGCCCCATCTAGTTCATTCACGACGTGCTCTTCTCATTCATCATAATTCACATTAAAATCCTTATTAACACCCATCTTCTCTTTGGACAATCAAAAGGCAGAACAAATAAAGACAGTCTTTCAAAGAACAACTGACTGAGCTGTTTTCCACAATCATGAATGAGACAGGTGTTCAACTTCTTCAAAACTAATTCCATTTATTTCTCTTTATTCTTCATAATTCTGTTTAACTCTTCAGTATTCCCTATGGGTCCCAAAATTCAGATCATCATTTTGTTGTTATTAAACTGCAAGATTTCTTCATAAGCTTACAAACCCATTTTTTATAAAATCTCTCTTACCTGCCCCTTCAAAACATTAACCATTTTTTGTATCATACTTCACTGTATTGCTCAGAAGAGCCAAAACATTGATACAAGTCATTTAAATGTAACTTTTCCTGCAGGCTTTACAGCAATTTTCGATACTTTTCTAGTCACATTTAAAGAATAATACAGGTATCATAGAAACATCATCAGGGAGACACACCATCAAATGGGACAAGTGTAATGCTGCTTCTCAGTGTCAAACGCAGAATTACTCCATTTTCAGTCTTCTGCAAGATTCCAGGTTTCTTCATTGCAGCTTAAGTATCAAACCATACCATAAACTTCTGTAAAGCTATAAAAACTACAGACGCATTTCAATTACATTCCCATCTTCTCAAATCAACAGTTTCTCCATAAAACATCTTAAGCATATTTTTGAATCTCTATGAATATTCCCAATTCTCTTATGTCTATAGAGACTGGGTCTATTTAGAAGTAGTGTCACTATTGTTCACAGCAGTGAAGGAACAAAAGTTGTTATATGCAGCAGTCATCAACACACGTTTTAGCCAGAATCACCAGTTGCGGATAGCCAGAGCTATCAGCAACCATCCTCCTACTGGGTTTACATGAAGAAAGCAAGAAGAATAAGACTCTCATGCATCTTCCTCCCTAAAAATTTAACTGATGTACTAATTATCATCTTCAGTTTCACACTGAAACCTCACTGAAACATTAAGATCTGTACTCTGCAATGACAAGATCGGTATCAAGAAGCAGCAGGTGCTACTTGCATACAGGAAGAGCTACTAAATTAAACCAGTCCGAGATTTACCTTTTTCTGCAATAAACGTTCCAAAACAGGAACCAAGAGATGTTTGAACTTTCTTGGACTGTAGCCAGTATCCATGCAGTGGCAACTGACCCACACCATCCAACCATTATAAGCAACTATGCCGCAACCATAACAGGCACAGACTGAAAGCCAAAAAAGCGTCATGCACACACACAGATCTAAACACCACCATCCCAACAGTTTCCTATGTGTATATATA